AGTCCTTTCATGCCAAAATTGACAATATGGTATGTGTGTGCGTGCGCATGCGCATGCTTGTGCACACATGTTACAATTTCATTGTGACACTTGTTGATATTTTTATGTGATTATTTTATGATACCAGCTGAGAAGAATATGGAGTAAAAGCAGTTTCTTTCTGAGAAGCATGAAGAGGGTCCCAGCTCTTCTGTTTTTATTTCTGGTGTCATTGAGCCCCACGACCACCATAGTCGAGTATCACACTAGGGAAAGGCCACTTGCCAGGTTGCTACCTGGGTGTGAAGTAGAGCTGTGAGCTGTAAGTGAACCACAGTCACCAGATACTGGCTTACCGGAGCAGCTTGTTGAGCATCCTTGGTTCATAAACAGAATAAGGTGAACAGAATATGATCATATATGTTTTCATAAATAAATGCATGAGCAGAAGCAGTGTGCTTCATTTATCTGGGTCCATTTTTAATGCTTTTTTTAAAGTAAGCAGACAGATTTTTGTCTATCTTTAGAGATTCTCAATACATTAAATTGTAGAGAAACTTGGGTATATAGAATGTGTGGGATAGCAGCTAACTGCTGTCATATGCAGGAGTGTGTAGGGAGTGAGCACCTGGCCACTAGCCAGCGTAGCTTGAAGAAGGGGGCTCATGGAGGACTCCCAGCCCATTGCATAACGTCCGGCTGCGGCGGAGAGGAACATGCAAGCACTGTCCCTGTCACTCCACTTGGTTTCTGCTTTGATTTCGTTACTTGGCACGGTCTTGGCATCCCGTAATGGAAGAGTGAAGGGCTGTGCCTCCAAGGGCATCGAGCAGTGCTGGGTGTGGGCCAGGCCGGGTTAGGTCTCTTTGTGATTGCTGGGCAGGGGTTCGAGCTTCCAGAGAGGACTCAAGCACCAGAATCGAAAGCCCTGCCGTGGGATGTTGGGTGGTTGTTTCTGAAAGGGGATTCCTTCTTCTCCCAGCAGTGTGTGCTGCTGCTAGTTGACGCACCTGCCCCTTCAAGTGCCCTGTTTGGTAGGAAGTCCCTCCCGTGTTTTGTGGTACCCTGGTCAGCACTGAAGTTTATGTACGGCTTGAAATAAAAAAACGACATTGATTCTTCAGGGAAAAAAAAAAAAAAGGATCCCACCTGGCCAAAATAAAGGCAGACAGATACCCGCTGCTGCTGTTGGTTTGTTTGTGTTTCCCTGTGAGGGGAGGGCTTGCCCATTTGGAAGATGTGGGCAGTTTTGAATAGGACCTTTCTAATAGAGTTGTTGGCTAGGAATTGCTACTTGAAAAATCTCATTTTAAAACAGAGTTCAAAGTGCCTTTGAAAACAAGAGTACATTGTATCTCCCCGTCCTAGCAAGCAGCCTGAATTCCCCCCCCCCCAGCTGCCCCTTGTTGCGGTATCTGTCTCTCACCTTGCTATATGCTCTCATTCATGCTGGCTTACCAGAGATTTGAAACATTATAGTTTGGGGCTAACCATGTGTTAACAGAGTATCCGTGTGTTAAATAAAAGTTAAGTAAGTGCTAACCAGGAAGTTAACATTAAAAACAGCAACAAAGAAAAAACACCCGACATTTTCCATCAAGTCTAAGTCCATCAATTTTATAATGTGACATACAGGACCATACCTTTTACAAAACCTTATTCTGGATATCAGTTCTTAGACTTTGAAAAACATCGTTATATATTTGGTTTTCCTCAGTGAGTATGGATTTTCAAATCAAAGCAGACCTTCTGTGTCTCTGGTGGCCCACAATTTGGCAACCCCTAACAGGAGGTTTCTGAGCCACCAGTCCCAGGGGAGTGGAGCAAGAAAAGACCAGATGGCATCAAAAGATAGGCCTGTCTAGGTCGTTGGTGGCTAAGCTTGCAGTCTGGTACCAACAGAGACACAGGGTAAAGGGTACAGAGAGGCAGCATGGCAAGCTGGAGATGGGATAGCCATGAGGTCTTCGGGAATGTGCTGTAGAGAGAAAACTTACGCAGCAAGGAAGAGGTGACTCATGTTTATAACCGGAGAGTGTCCACTGCGCTTAGAAGGAAGTGGCATGTAAACATATGTGCAGTTCTGAAAAGCACATCTCCTGCTTGGTCAGCTGGTGTCCCTCAGCTGCCGCTGACTCTGTTACTTACTTTCCAGATGTCTGCTTCACTTTGAAGTACAGGAACTAGAACAGATGATGCTTAGCTTCCACAGATATGTCTCTTCCCATAGGAACGAGCATCCTTCATGCAGATACTTCCTTTGCAGAGCTGTATTCACCAGGCGTGGAGAACGCTGCCCTGGCCCATGGACCAGGCGTCTCTGAGTATGCTTTCTTGGCATATGCTCATCTTGGAGTGTATTTATAATTACTTGACTGAAGAAATAATGGCTATGAAAAGAACATTTTCAGAATGGAATCTTGTCTTCCCTGTTCATTTTGGGCATCAAACTTTGACTCTTGGCTTATTACTTAATAAATTTAATTTATTAAGATTGAGATTGTTGAACATAGTTGGTGCTTCCTTATAGAATACCTCCTCAGCTGTTTTCTCTTGTATGAAAGAAGTGAAGGCATTTATAATCGTACAGGTTTTATTTTGTATGGGTTTGTATGTTTAGCTGTTTTCAACCTTGGGGATTCAACCAGGGTCTGGTGTATGGTTGGTGGTCACTTTTATCACTGATCCTTGTCTCCAGCCCATAATCTCAGCCTATATACTTAGGTCCTTTTCCCTCCTTTTAATTACCTGGAAAAATCCTTGCTTCTTCATAGACAGATTGAATATCCTTAAATTCCCAAAACCAAGTTTCAACTTCTTTTAAAGGTCTACCACGCCCTGCAGTAAATCTCCCCATGTTCAGATTGTTTGCTTGGTGTTTCTGTAACTCTTTCAGTACGAGCTAAGTGGAACACTCTGGAGTCGGGACTAAAAACCCCTCAACGTTTTCATTTTATTTTAAGTTATTATTATAATTATTTTGCTTTCCTCAACCAAAGAAATGTCTGAAATAGTGCTGAATACATAAAAGTAACACAGTAAATAAACAATTGAATACATTTTAAAAAGAGGGGAAGATGAAAGTGTCTTTGAACTCTTCATTTAAACATATTAATATTAGCCCTTTTCCTGTTTTTCCCCTTTACATTTTGATGTTCTGGAGTGGCACTTCACTACTGAGTTATAGCCTCGGTTTTGTTATTTTCAATGTAGGTCTCAGCATGAAAAAACAGGGATTTTGCTTGTCCTTTGTTATTCAGTATAAAACTAGCTTTAAAACTAAAACATGAAAATTTGCTGCTTGCACCAGATTTCTGGCGTTGAGTAATTTAAACAGAACCAGCAGAGCTGTTCTCTGACATGCTTCCTGAATTTTACTAGTTGTTTTGTTTACTTTTGAAGAAGGCTAACTTCAGAGCAGAGCCTCTAATTATTAAGAAAGCCACTGGCCTCCAGTGCACCCTTGAGCCAGGTCACTCGAAGATACTGCTAGGTGGGCCCCACAGCCATCCCGCTGAAGCGTTTAAAGGCGTCCTCACCTTGTTCGTGGTTTTGATCTGGATTTGGTCTCCTTCGCAAGACGAGTCAGCTCATGTGCAGATCCTCCCCTGAGAGATTTAGGTAGTTAGCATAGTAGAGTAACTTTGAAATGGTTAAACATAGGGAGCTACAGACATTCCTTTATCTGCACTAAGTCTGTCCAGTTGCAGCCTAGCGTCAAGTATTATACTTAACATGATGAGCTCAGGCAGAGGATTTGGAATTCTCTTCAGATTGTTTGATAATTGTAGCTGGGTCTGTGGGTACTGAGACGGCCTGGCAGTTCATCAGCCCGACCTCTGCCTCACTACCCTTGATGGCCTCTGCTCTCGGACACAACGGCCATGCATCACCTTTTCTTACCCTTCTTTCGAGTTGCTGCCTTGGGAATTCTCACTTGACATTATCTCTTGTATGTTGAGACCCAGTGAACTAATGGAACTATTTAGTCCCCTTTGAGAGGAAAGTGGAGGGCTCATTTTATTTCTGGTACTGAGACTGTTGCAAAAAGTTCAGTTCCAGCCCCAAAGGAGTCCACACCCTGCACAGCTGAACTGTTACGCTTGGTAGAGCACAGACTCAGACATGGAGAGCAGTGGCATTTTAACGTCTCCAGTATGTGCATGCTCATAGTTCGAGAAGGTAAATCCATGAGGCTCCGGTAGCATTTCCAGGAAAAATTCCCTCTGATTTTCCCAGAGAGTGGTCTGTCAGAGAGTGAGGACTTTATAGTAAATAATTCTGCCGCCTCTTCTTCTTGTGTAGAAAATGTAGGGTCAGTCATGAGAATAGAAGAGAAAAACAGTTAAGCTAATGTCCACTCAAGATAGGAAGTGGAGGCCTTCAGTTTTGGAGTGTGAAACCCACGCACTCCGTCCTACTTAGTCACATAGTTCGGTTGTTTCTGTTGTGCTGGATCATATGAAATTGCCGTTTTTAGAAGTACTGAAATGTTTGAAGATCAGGAAGTGTTCATGTGGCTCCACCTACTACATAAACAACATCTAACCCCATAGGACGGCTACAACTACTGAGTAGTGCAGGTGTGTGTGTGTGTGTGTGTGTGTGTGTGTGTGTGTGTGTGTGTGTGTAGGTAATTAAAAGTTTGAAGGAAATGGAAACTGGGTGCATTTTATATCTCCTTGAGGTGCCATAGCTGGAACCCCTGCTCCAGCCTGTGTTTTTAATCATTCAGAAATCAAGTTCAATTGCTTTAATATCCTTATTCACTTTAACAATACAGTAGGAGTTCTGTGGAGTGGACTAGAGAACACACTATTCCATGGGGGTGGCAGCACATAATATAAAGCAACCATGCCTACAGAGAACAGAAGTGGTGGAGAGACTGGAAATCAGGCGCCCCTACGCTTAGTGATGAGGAGTGAACTGTGGTCGTTGGTTGGATAACTGAGAGTGACTGTCTTTAAACTGTGTGTCCAGTGGATACCTAGGCTGTGCTAATTTGATCGTGTCTTTCTTAGACGAGCTCACCTGCGCCTGTGTTTGGAACGCTTGAAAGTTCTGATCCCGCTGGGCCCAGACTGCACCAGGCATACAACACTCGGTTTGCTCAACAAAGCCAAAGCACACATCAAGGTGAGCCTCTCCACTCCAGCGCTGAGCCAGACTCGGGGTCCCGGGTTAATTATTAGCAGTGATTCCTAATGGGTGTTTGTGTACCACTCAGTAGACCATCCTCCTTCCTAACTGACCTCCAGAGAAACTTGTAAAAATCTCACTAGCCGATCCGGTGGAGCAGTGTAACATGATTCAATGAAATTATCTTTTTGACAGTATGGCTGGCTATTTAGACCTGGGAACACTAGGGCATGATACCCAGAAGGAAGGCCATTGTGCCCTCTTGTGGAGATGACGTTATTTGTTTGTGTATCTCAGTATTTTTCCATCAAATACCACACTGTGGGAGGTTTCTCTTTTGTGGAGGTTACCTCATAGACTTTTATAGTTCCATCTTGTTCAAATAATGTATGCAGCATTCATACACAAAAAGACACTATTTTTATGTTAAAAAAATAAATGCTTATCCATATTTACATACAAGGGTACATAAATAACCATATATGTATGTGTGTGTGTGCCATATTAATATATACAAGGGTACATAAATGCTGTGTGCCATATTTATATATACAAGGGTACATAAATACCTATATATATGTATGTGTGTGTGTGTCCATTCATACTTTCTCTGCCAAAGAAAAATGTTAAGCAGAAATCAGTTTTATTGGTTTAGACTGGACTGTATACAAATAAATAACATTTCATCGTCTTAGAAACTTGAAGAAGCTGAAAGGAAGAGCCAGCACCAGCTTGAGAACTTGGAGCGAGAACAGAGATTTTTAAAGCGGCGACTGGAACAGCTGCAGGGCCCTCAGGAGATGGAGCGAATACGAATGGACAGCATTGGATCAGCTATCTCTTCAGATCGCTCTGATTCAGAGCGAGGTAGGCAGTGTCTCTCTTCTGAGGACTCTAGAATCAGGGAGGGGGGCCTGCAGGCAGCGGGCGTTTGCTGTCATTCACCAGCACTGTTGTGGTGCTGGAGACCAACGCCAAGGGTAGCATGTGTGAGGACAGTCAGTAGGAATGACTCTGCCGTGGTGACACCTCTGACTCCCAGCTGAGGTCTGTGCAGCAGACACGGCCTGCTGCAGACAGACATTTCCTGTGTGTACATGTGCACTTTCTACTTAGAAAGAACGTTAGACTTCCAGAAAATGCCGAGTTCTCCCTTACGGTACAGTCAATGAAAGCACGATGCTGACATTGAGAAAATGCTAGGCTTCATCCAGATTTTATTAGGTTTGCCACTAATGTCTTTTGATGTATTTTGAATACTGACCAGTCTCTTTGTATAGCATTCTTCAATTAGAATTTTTTTTTTGGAGGGGGGGTGGTTATGTGCATTGGTGTTTTGCCATGGGTGTCAGGCCCCCAGGAACTGGAGTTACAGACAGTTGTGAGCTGTCATGTAGGTGCTGGGAATTAAACCTGGGTCCTGTGGAAGAGCAGGCGGTGCTTTTAAATCACTGAGCCATCTCTCTAGCCCCTGAAAATTTTTTTAATGGTTTCAAATAATTAGATTCAGAAGAAGAAACACCACAGGAATGATACTGTACCCTTCCATTCATTGTCAGGAAGAGACATTGCTGTTTTGTTGTTCATGATACTAATTTTTATCTGCATATTTTAGAGTATCACACCATTTCTCTTCCCATGTGTTCTAGAACATTTGTCTTTGACAAAATTCAGAACAGAAATCACCCATAAAAGGTTTGAATTTTACTGATCTGTTCATATCTTCAGCCACCTCAGCCTTACGCCACAAACTCCTAGAATTGAATACTAATTTTGTCTGTTTATTTTTGTTTTTCGAGACAGGGTTTCTCTGTGTAGCTCTGGCTGTCCTAGAACTCACTCTGTAGATCAGGCTGCCCTTGACCTTGAGATCCTCCTGCCTCTGTGCCCTGTGTGCTAGGCATTTGCCACTGCTGCCTGGTTGAATGCCAATTTTTTTGTTTTTTGTTTTTCAAGACAGGATTTCTCTGTGTAGCTTTGGAGCCTGTCCTGGAACTCACTTTGTAAACCAGGCTGGCCTTGAACTCACAGAGATCTGCCTGCCTCTGCCTGCCAAGTACTGGGATTAAAGGCGTACACCACCACCACCCGGCTTTTTATACTGATGATTTTTAACTTTACATTTGGAAAAGTAGAGCTCATGAAATCTTGAAAATTTTTAAGTAACCTTTTTTTGAAGATGGATTTCTTTTTCGCTTTTTTAATGGAAACTTCCACACATACTCAGAAATACAGAACAGACAATAATCAAACTCCCGAGTGTGTACCCATCAGCTGATGATAACAGATGTTAGCATTCTGCCATTATTGTTTTATGATTGAATGTAAAACAGCAGGCTTTGACAAATAAGACTATTGAAAAGTCCTGAGCTTTTAATTCTTCTTTAGGGGAAAAACAATATTTGACTTCCTTTTGTTTTTAAAATATGTGTTGCTATATATTATTATTATGAGTGTGACCATGGTTATATACCGTTTATTTCAGGTTGTGTTTGAGGACTGTGCACTTGATTGTCTTGAGACATTCGGTCCAGTTCCGAGCATCATGCGCGCGCGTGCACACACACACAGATATACACACCACACACAAGAGACACAGACACACACACTCTCACACACACAGACGTACACACAGATATACACACCACACACAAAGACTCACACACAGGGAAGGAGATGGCTTGAAATTATATTTGATGCAAGAAAATCAAAAGCAAGTCTCTCAAACTTAATGGTTGACTTATTTTAGTTACTAAGTACATAGAATTCCTTATGATCAATTGTAGAAATCTATAGAATCATTTGTAGAGTGATACAACCAAAAATTTGGATGCATAAACATTAATTTTCTGTCTTTAATTTCTCTCCACCCCACCCCCCTTTCTAAAGCAACTCTGATTAATAAACAACACTGTGAATTAGTTTTTGGTTTAATGTGAAACAGATGTTGTTAAACCACTTGGGTTGGGATCTTTTAATATTAAGCACTAATTCTCAAATAGGCCAAGTGCTTTCAGTGGGAGGTCCAGACGGACTGGCGTCAGAGGGTTTTAGTAAACTTGCTTCCTAAAATAAGACCACCTCTGTATACTAGAATCCCCTTTACAGAAGAGCCCTGCTTCCCAGAGATCTCTGATATCCTCCCTGAATAGCCCTTTTAACTTTTGAAAATGCACGTACAGATTATTGATGTCCCCCCCTTTCTTTCTTCCTTTTTGCAGAGGAGATTGAAGTGGATGTTGAAAGCACAGAGTTCTCCCATGGAGAAGTGGACAATATAAGTACCACCAGCATCAGTGACATTGATGACCACAGCAGCCTGCAGAGTATTGGGAGTGACGAGGGTTACTCCAGTGCCAGTGTCAAACTTTCCTTCACTTCCTAGAGCCCAGCATGACAAGAGTGCAGGGCGAGATACCCACTGGGCCAATTCAGTACCGTCTCTTCAATTGGGTTCCTGACGCAGTCTCCTTCAAAACTAACCAAAACTATACTTGAACAGAAGGGTCAGAAGACCTGTATTTAAGCAAATACTTAACAAAAGTGGGGTAGAGCCTCCCCAATAGAACAAATATTCACATATTGGAAAGTTCGTGACAGCGGCTGAAAACTTGGGTGTAATTATCTTGAGTTGACTTAGTTGACTTAAAAGAGGACAATGGAGACTCCATTCTCCATTTCTAGTTTGCTCACGCCTGTTGAGTAGACAGCTAAGGACGGGGTTATGAACCCTTCCTGAGCTTCTTGGCCCTAGAAACAAAATCAGACTTAGAGTAAGGAAAAGACAGGATAATCAGGCATTAATCTTGGATAGCTAAAGAGCTATTAAAACTCAGCCTCAGTTTATCATGAAGCCTGTGGATGATCAATTCTTTTAAAAAATGAATTTTTAAAAAGCTCATTTCGTGCTCTACAAAAGGAGAGACTCCCATGAAGCCTTTGGAAAGAGATCATCACGCAGCTCAGCTTTCTGTTGGATTCCATGCTAAGCCAGCTAACCTTACCTGCATTGTTAGCACTAGGGCACCTGCCCACCCACCCGCCCGCCCGCCCACTCGCAGCCCTCCGGCAACATAGGGCAGCCCATGCATGACAGCCTGTATCACAGAAGGAAAAGCTCCATGCGCCTCTGTGTCTGCGCCCATCTGAAGAGCTGTGCACGCAGTATAGCAGGCCAAGGTCTGAGCCACGGCAGCATTTTTATTTGAGATTTTGATAACTGTTTATATGTGTTGAAAACCAAAATGACATCTTTTTAAAGCTTGTCCATAAGTAAACATAGATGTCTTTTATAGTGGAAAAAAACATGTGGGGGAAAAAATCATCTATTTTGATGCAGCATTTGATAATGATAAAACACCTCATGCCTCACTCTTTATAGTGCACAGAATGAATGAGGTCTGGGCTGGGTAGACAAAGGTCAATGCTGTTTTTGTTTTCTTTTAGGATCATTCCCTTTTACCAGCTTTTAACCATCTACTATCCATAGTAGGCATCCTGTCTTAGTTAACATAGTTCGGTTCAGCACTTGTCTCGTTTACCGTAAGCCTTGCATTTCCACAGGCAGTCTCCTTCCTCACACACCCTCTGTGCAGGTGCTATTGTTGCTCTTTAAATATTTTCAGAAATGTTATCTTCTAAGTGAATTCTAGCCTGCACTTTGATGTCCTGTGTTCCCTTTGTCTTTCAGACTCTGAGGTTTCCCTCTGGGCCTCTGCTGTGCTCTGGAGACCTTACCCCCAGCTGTTTTGACTTTGTATTCTTTAAATAATTTAACTACCCTTAATTACTTTAAAAAAAAGCTTTATGATTTTCATAACTTATTGCTGATTTTAATGGGTTGTTAATTTCAGTCCTGTAGTTTTATTTTATGTTTAGATAGGGCTGGGCAAGGAAAAAGAAAATAAAAACAACCATATTTAGCAGTGCAGTCGAGTTGTGTGTTAATGTCATGGCTATCTTCTTGTGAATAGCCTGTTTCCTTACATGAAATGTACCATCGTGGTCTCATAAGGCCTCAGTACACACACAACCCATGTTCTTCCTGTCCTCCAAGAGCGCTTCTTCCTTGGGTGTGCTGTTTGGGCGAAGTTCTCTGAAGCAGACGCGGGTGAAACTGCATGTCCCAGATACTCAGTGTGAAACCTGCTGTACTTCAGTTGCAGGGGTTTCCTTCAGTCACTCCCAGCCTGTGTATTTGCCGCCTTTGGATTTCTCTTTAGTTGAATTGTGTCCTTACCTTGGAAAGTAAGTGGAAGCCATTGAGTGGCTTCTTTCTGTGTGTGTGTGTGTGTGTGTGTGTGTGTGTGTGTGTGTGTGTGTGTGTGTGTGTGTGTGTGTGTTGGAACTTGCTCTGTAGCCCAGGCTGGCCTCTAACTCAGAGATTGTCGACCTCTGCCTCCCAAGTGCTGGGATTAAAGGCATGTGCCCTCACACCTAACTATAGCTTCATTCTTCCGTTCCTATGGTGATGACTGGCATCATCTTGGGCCAGGACTGGAATCTGGAACATCACTCAGGCAGACTTTGCTTTGTGTATGTACAGGATGATGGGCGGTGAAGCCTTCGTCACAAACCTAGTGCCATATGTCAACGGGATGGTCCAACACTGCTCCTTCCCCAGGTTTGCTCTTGGGGACGGAGGATGCAGTAGATTGTGTGATCAGGTATTAACTCGACAAGACAAATTAACTTAAAGACAAGTTATTCGAGAAATAAAAACCAAATAATGAATACCCAAGTTATTTTTGTTAGTACCCTTCTCTGTGAAGGCAAAATAACTTGAGTGCCCACATCTTCAGGTAATTATCTCCTAAATGCATATCAGAAATGTAGAGGTAACAGCAGTGTGTATTAAAGCTGTTCCTGTTGTACAGTTTTAACAGGTGTCTGCCCCAGCTCCACAGCTCGACTGTAGTTCTTTCCTGGCATGATAATGGCTTTCAAGCGTCACAAAGATGTCCTCTTGGGGATCTCTGCAGCCACCGTATGCAAACTGAAGCCTGCCAGATCTCACTGAGCCATTGACCTTTAGGGTATTCTGATGCCTGTAAATTTTTTATTTTTTGAGACTGGCTGGCCTCAGAGAATGCCTGCCTCTGCCTGTGTTTTTATATGAAGAGATGCAGGTCACTCCCATACCTGTTTACATACCAAAGGGGCCTGACAAATTTTTGCCTTGGTTTCTGGTTAGCGGAGGGAAGGAAAGTTTGTTTTTTCCTCAAGTCTTCATGGCAGTTGCACCACCACCACCCAGTTTAGGATTACAAAAATTTTTTTTTTTTTTTTTTTTGTTTTTTGTTTTTTGAGACAGGATTTCCCTGTATAGTTTTGGTGCCTGTCCTGGATCTCACTCTGTAGACCAGGCTGGCCTGGAACTCAACAGAGATCCACCTGGCTCTGCCTCCTGAGTGCTGGGATTAAAGGCCGGTGCCACAGCTGCCTGGCAAATTACAAAGATTTTTTTTTTCCACCTTAAATTATTTCATTAACTTAAAAGGTGAACAAAATGTGTATTTCAAATTTTATTAAACTTATTTACCTGAAATATATGTTTACATGAAGGACAAACAGATACAGGATTTCAAGTAACTTATGGGACAGTCATTATCTGTTAAAAAATATTCTTCCGCACACACACCTTTCCTTTTAACAGTATAAAAGCTAGATGCAAACTTTTGATGTATCTCATTGTTAACTGTTGATGCAGATGGGAGACACATTGTTCAGTTAGTTAATTGACAGATGCAGAAAGCTGTTCCCTCAGACACAAAGATGCCCAGGTCTCTCACAGCAGAACTGCATGCTTCACGTTCACACCACATCATTTCTTCCCCTTCCCCTTTTACTTTCCTCTCCTTGCTGAAGACTTGGGTCAGCACCGCCTGTTTGGTTTTGTGTGTGTGTGTGTGTGTGTGTGTGTGTGTGTGTGTGTGTGTGTGTGTGTGTGTGTGTGTGTCCATGTCCTTGTTTTTAGCTTGGGAATCATTTCTGCTACATACAGCATCACTGACTTCCGCGATGGGAACTGTACATGACAGAGGCTGCCATCTTCCTGTTTGAGCTGTACCCGACTCTGCCTCTGTTCTGAACATCATGGTTCTATTCTCTGGAGTACATTTTGGTTTTCTCCAGAAATGCATTCAGTCCAACTGCTGAGCAGACGTCCTGAATCTCAGCAGCGGTAGGGTTTTCTACAGCCTTACTTACGGGAATCCACCTCCCCTCTGCTATGGTCTTATTATTATTAAAGTAAGCGGGGTAGATACAAATAAACCTGCCCTGGTCGGCTGGGGACAGGGCCGCTGCGCAAGCCATCTCCGCGGGAGTCCACACAGCCCCGCCAGCGCGCCAGGCTGAACACCTACAAAGATTTTTAAGAGCTAAGACTTGAGGCAGAGCCCTTAACTCTGGGCCATAATGTTTCCTGGTTCAACTATCCTGAGGGATGATTTAGCCTGAAACACTCTTAATGGTTTTGTTTCTTTCACTTTACCCCTCCACCTAAAAAAGTCCCAGGACAGCAGGGCGGTGGTGGCACACACCTTTAATCTCAGCACTCAGGAGGCAGAGGCAGGCGAATCTCTGAGTTCGAGGCCAGCCCGGGCTAGAGAGAGTTCCAGAAAGGCGCAAAGCTACACAGGGAAACCCGGTCTCAAAGAAAAAAAAAAAAAGTCCCAGGACAAAACCAAAGTAGTATCCCCAACATATCTACCAAACCAGCGTGACACAAGATATACAAGTGCTTTATTTACATTTTACTCTCGGTTCCAACCTGGGATAGACCCTGGGGCAAATGACTTGTTTCTCCATGGAGCCCATTTCCTACTACAGTTACTAATTTACTGTCTTGGTCTTGAGATGGCAGGGTTTAAACCGACATGTAAATTACTTCCATGCCGTAGAAGCTGTAATGTTAAAAGGAAACCAAGAGGTGATCATGTGCATATGTGTGTGGGTGTGTGCAGTTGTTTGTAAGCCATGCAACTTTGAGCACCATTTTTTTTTTTTTACTTTTATGTGCATTGGTGTTTTGCCTGCAGGTCAGATCTTTGAGATATAGGCAGTTGTTAGCTGCCATGTGGGTGCTGGGATTTAAACCCTGGTCCTTTGGGAGAGCAGTCAGTGCCCTTAACCACTGAGCCATCTTTCCAGCCCCTTGAGCACCATTCTTTAGGCACCATATATTTTTATTTTTTGAGACTTTGCCCCTCACTGGCTTGGAACTTACCAAATACACAAGGCTAGCTAGCTAGCAAGCCCCAGGATCCTCTCGTCTCCAACTCCTTGGTGCTGGGATTACTAACAATCCCCCATGCATGCGTGCATACAACATATGTGTGTGTGTGTGTGTATACATGTATGTGTGTATATGTATATATATATATATATATATATATATATATATATATATATATATATGAAATGTGTGTTTCCTTACATGTATGCGTGGTACCCATAAAGGCCAGAAAAGGGCATCAGATTCCGTGGAACCAGAGTTTCAGATGATTGTGAACAACTATGTGGATGCTGAGAATTGAACTTCAGTCCTCCAGAAGAACATCCAAGTATTCCTAACGGCTGAGCCATCTTCTCCAACCTTCTCCAGCCTACTGGCTTTTTAAAATTTTAATGAAAGTGTCTTTGAGATGGGGTCTCACTATTGGCTGTCCTGGAACTTGCTATGTAGACCAGGCTGGCCCAGAACTCAGAGATCTACCTGCCTCTGCCTCCCAAAGTACTGGGATTAAAGATGTGTGCCACCATGTCGGGCTCCCTGGATTTTTTAAATATGTGAAGATGGGGCTTGAACTTGAGTCCCTCTGCTTGCAAGGGAAACAGTTCACCAGCTGAGCTATCTCCCCAGCCTACCCACCTTTTCTGATAAATGCAACCTATTTTCTCCATCCCTAATGTCAACTTTTGTTATTTTGACTCAGTTTTACAGAAAAATCCAATTCCTTAAATATTGGTTCACACAGAAAACCTGAACTTGTATTTAGTTCAAATGATTCACCTCAACCTCCCAAGCAGATGTGACTATAGACTGTACTTCACCTGGCTTAATTTTTTATATCTTAAATACTTTTTAAAAGGCTATGTATGTAAAATAAATTTATTACATTTTAGTGATCATTTTTTTAAAAATCCAACCTGAGGCTGAGAATACAGTGATAATGACCACTGCATAACCGAATGTGCCTAGTTAATATTTAGTGACGTTTGGCTATAAAAGAAAACTGTCTTCTTGGCCTATGCACCAGATCTAACAATAAACTGCTTTTCTGGCTTTTTTGTCTTGTGATGCTAGGGAGTTGAACCTGGGTCTTTTAACACATATTATGTCAATGCTCCTCCACTAAATACATTGTACAGTTCCAAGGATATTTACTACCAATTTTACTTGGTTATTTTACCCTTTTCCAGCTGTAATTTATCATTAACAATAGCACAAGTAAAACACTACACTTTTATAGACTGCCAACTGGACTGTGTAAAATGCTTGCATAGTATGTACAAACCGCTGGGCTTGATTCCCCAGCATCCCATAAACTGGGTGGGATGATGTAGACCTGTGATCCCAGCACTTGTGAGGAGACAGCAGGATAATCAAAAGCTTACTTGTTTTCTGGATAGTGAGTTTGAGACAAGCCTGGGCTACATAGTACCGTCTGAACAAAGGAATCGACCAACAGACTTAACTGGAGTTTCTTCTGTTTCTTTACTAAGGAGAATGATTAGAAATCCCACTAAGGCAATAATTGGGATACTTTCAGTGTCCACAACAGGCACAAAAAAGCAGCATTGTTTAAAAAATGTAGCATAAGCCATAAAGGGTTTCTAAGACATACATTAAGAGAACTCTGAGAGGTGGTCTGTTTATAAGTGAATAGACAAGTGTCTCACACTTTTGAAGTTAAGTCCAACAAACCTACTGCTTTTGGAGGAACAAATTATAGGCAGAACCAAAGGGATACTCATTCCTCTGCTATCTGAGCCGTGAAAAACTGGACAGTTATCACCTATTAAAACTAGCCTAGCTGCTTAACTAGGGCTTAACTCTAGATTTTTGGCTGTATATATTATATATACTTATTGGATAGTTTTTCTTGTATTAGTTATAAGCTTTCTTTAATTTTAGACAAAAAGAGAGGAAATGTGGTGGTATTGTGTTCCCCAAAATATTGTGTACCTTAATAAATTTATAGGGCTTAACTCTAGATTTCCAGGATACAGGAGTCACTGTTTCCTCCAAGCCTAAATTGTAGCTATTTCTCTGGTCCCACCCAGTCCCAAGGTCCTGCAGCCGCTTATAATCATTCAGAGGCTTAATATTAATTACCAATTCTATGGCTCAGACATATTAGCTAGCTCTTATAACTTAACCCGTAACTATTAATCTATGTATCGCCACATGGTCCATGGCTTTACCTGCATTCCACTACATACTGCTCCTTGGATAGTGGTTTGGTGTCTCCTTTCATTCTCTTCGTTTTCCCATCAGGCTCCATCCTGCCCTGCCATAGTCCAATGCAGCTTCATTTATTAGCCAATGGGAGTAACACATATTCACAGCATACAGAAAGATATCCCACAGCACTGAATCCTTTTTCTTGGGTCAGAAATTCCACTGCATCTTTAGGATGGGTGTGGTGATGCAGGCCTCTAATTCCAGCCCTCGAAGAAAGAGACAGGCAGATTCTGAGGCTAGCCTGGTCTACATAGTGAGTTCCTACACCGCCAAAGAACACAGACTACAGAGAAACCTTCTCTCAACAAAACAAAAACTCTGCATAAAGTAAATACAGGGGCTAGAGAGATGGCTCAGAGGTTAAGAGCACTGACTGTTCTTCCATAGGTCCTGAGTTCAATTCCCAGCAACCACATGGTGGCTCACAACCATCTGTAATGAGATCTCGTGCCCTCTTCTGGCCTGTAGTCATACATGCTGTATACATAATAAATAAATCTAAAAAAAAATTTTTAAGTTTAAAAAAAATAAATACAGGGCTTTGAAGGAGGTGGGGACGAACAGCACATCAGTTTCACTAAGAAATGGGAACTGAACTAGCAAAATGACATGATTTTGCGCCTCAAGCTGAAAAAGTAGCTCTTAAAACAAGAAGTCAACCTTTCTAATGATTTTAACCACAGCTCATTTAGCTATGTTCTTAAAAGACTAATTTGGGCTGGGCAGTGGTGGCACATGCTGTGAATTTGAGGCCAGCCTGCTCTACAGAGCCAGCTCAAGGACAGGCTTCAAAGCTACACGAAGAAACCCTGTCTTGAAAAACAAAAAACAAACAAACAAAAAGACTAATTTGGGACACAAATTAAAAATTAAATATTCCAATGACTTATAGTGTGTTCATAAAATGAACTGTTAAGGTGCACAGTAGAAGCTAGCTACCAATGTTTACTGTGGAACTAAATGCCTAAGGTCTAAGGTAACAGTATGGTTATTTTTATTATTAAAATTAGTTTTTTTGCCGGGCGTTGGTGGCGCACGCCTTTAATCCCAGCACTCGGGAGGCAGAGCCAGGCGGATCTCTGTGAGTTCGAGGCCAGCCTGGGCTACCAAGTGAGCTCCAGGAAAGGCGCAAAGCTACACAGAGAAACCCTGTCTCGAAAAACCAAAAAAAAAAAAAAAAAAAAAAATTAGTTTTTTTATTTTATTATTAAATTTTATTATTTTTTATTTTATTATTTTTTATTTTTTATTTTATTATTTTTTATTATTATTTTTATTTTTATTATTTTTATTTTATTATTATTATTTTTATTATTTTTTATTTTATTATTAAATTTTATTATTAAAATTAGTTATTTTAAGTTGTCAACCACTACAAACCTATTCTCAGAACTGCACTGGGCCACTCAAGAACCACCTTCGGGTAAGCTCAGAAGGCAACAGGAAAACCTCACAGAAGCGAAACCTTGTCTTTATTGAACACTGGCTAGACCAGACAAGTGTTTACAATGTCCCATCAGTAGTATCGGTTTCAGAACCACTTATATCTACACCTACACACGTATGTATGTGTGTGTGCTTCTTTAAAATAACAGGAAAGGAACAAGATTATTGGGTTCCTTGTTTGTTAAAACTACTCGATTCCCTGTTGTGCTCTCCCACCCACTGCAGTACGAGGTTTAATTTGCAACTCAAAAATCTTAGATAAAAAGAATATTTACATTTACTCTTGGATTTATAAATTACTACTTACACTGACTGCTCCATAGTACAAATAATACAACTGAGCAGATACTTGTTCAAACTCTGTAAGGATTTTAAACAAATACAAAACCTTGTTGGTTCAAACATACTTCTTCCTTTTTAGTATTTCAGTTATTATCCAAGCTAGGTAAAAATCCAAATCAAACTCTGAATAAATTTTTAGCTGATTTACATCATATTCCTCACCTCTGAAATGTCTGGTTGTAAACTGTGAAATCCTAACCCAAGTCATAAGACAGTCACCTGTCCTGTTACATAAGAGGTGCCCCTTGGTATTTTCAAGGGAAATAAACTCAGCACTCAACACTAGAACCATACTACACTGGACGGACACGCACCCTTCACAACAAAACAAGTCCTTTTAAAATTTGAGTTACAATAATTTGATGCCTTTTGATTTGGTACCTAGTCTTCATAACTAGACTAATTAAAAACACCACTAAATGTACTTTAAATTGTTCTTCAGAAATCAAAACTATTATATATTTAACCTACAGCAGTTCTCCGGCTAAGGATGCACAGCAGAATCATCTACAGTGTTTGTTACAGACTTATTTGGCCTGTAAGTCTGGGATAATACCTAGGCAGGAATTCTTTAGTTTGTTCTAGTGTGAAAATTAAGTCAGGATTTACTTGATGATGCTTCAGTAGTAGTTTTATGTACTGCTACTGTTTAAGGAAGTCAGACATTCACTGTCATTCCACAGTCAATGGCAGACATCCCTATAGCATCACCCCTACATCAGATACTGTTCCTCTTAATACACATTAGCTCGATTCTTGAAGAAAATGAGAAGTTACACATAGGTAGTAAGTGGTGAGTCAGGATGCAAACAGCCTGGTTTTAGTCTTAGCTCTTCTTTTATGTTCTATAGGTCTTGCCACATGTTATTTAAAACAGCATTTGCTAATTGTGATTATTGTTAAATTTCTGGTTACTAATTTTTAAGACTATTAGGTCAACTTCAAAAGTCAATCAGGTTTTGAGAAGATACTTGCAATCAGTATTTGAATTCCAGTTTGTCAGTTTCTGTTTTATATCACTTTGTAAGAACTCCACACTAAATTTTGTAACAAAACACAATACACCTAGGGTTCCTATTTAATTTTACAACATAGAAAGCTTAAGCACTTTCATTTGGAACGTGGTCTTTTTAACAGCCAATTCCTCACCTCCCCTGGTCCTAACTTTCAGTTTAGTCCAAAGAAACCAACATCATCAGTGCAAATTAGGATGTCCCCAAGGGCCACGTTTCATCGGACACTGAGCTGCTGCTTTTATGTCCACCTATTTTCAGAACACTTCTATTCCTTTCCTAAGACACAGCCCTTAAGGAAAAGAAACACAGAAAGGAACGTTGTTTAAGGCAGATGGCCCAGTTACAGCCAAACTGACAATATAAGCACCAAGTACAGTACTGTCTTAACATGGCAAGGCCCCAGCAAACCACACAATTACACCAAGTGACTTAGTTTTCACCAAGTGAAATTTTCTTGCCACTGTTACTGCACTACTTAAGACATCTGTTACAACAGCAAGATTAATTTAAAATTTCTCATTTAGGAGTGCTCATGCTTTAGGTACTTCTCAGCCCGCAAGCCACGGGTAGTGGGGATCTAACTGAAGGTCTTAAACACGCTAGGCAAACATTACCACTGTCCTAGGCCCAAGCAGCCCTTTTTCTGTTCTAACACGTGTCTTTCTTTTTGTCATAGGTATTTATGAAGAATATCCTGACCTCTTGAGTTAGGGAGGAAAAGAAGAATTCTACCTCACCACTGTCAGAAAAATTTCAGCTTACCAAGACAAAATTTGTGAAATCATTTAATTTACAAATAGTTTCATACACACCCATTAATCCTTTAGGATTCAATTTCTTATATTCAATGAAGGAATTCTTAAGGATTTATGAAGCATTTTCAGACTCCACATTCTCCTCCCTGATAGTTCTGTGCACAAGCCCAAGGCTCATTACACCAGAGCTGGCAGCTACAGACGCCACCCCTTTGTTAACACACTGGAGATTTTAAAAACACTTTATTTATTAAAGTTAAACATACAAAACTGAAATTAACACACACCCTAAAAATTGTCTTCTTCCAGTAACAGGAAGACCCTTTTTCTATCTGTGTTTTTGGCTTAAACTCAACTTGGATAACTGTGGTGCTCACTTATACCAACAAATGCTGGCAACTTGATCTAGTTAATAAAAAGTACAAACTCGGCTACATGAACATAATATACAGGGGAATTATGGTCA